CGAACCTGTTGTACTCTGAGGTGGTGTGTTTGTTATCAACAGAAAAACACAATGAAAATGATATTGATTTTATTGCGTCATTTTACTGACTAGAACGCCAGACTTAATAGTGGGTATAAGTATAAAAATAATCAAATTCTTACAAATAATATTTTGCTGCTACAGTACTGAATAATTAGTGAAGGTTGCAATTATAATACAACTTTAAATAACATTCTTATAATGGATTTAACACAATCAACCAGGGGCTAAGGTTTAAAGGTCTGCAAAGAGAAATTTGGGACAACGTGAAAACTCAGAAAGTTAATTTTCCAGCTACAGGCTTCATTTAACCAAAAATCCAGCAACACAAACATTAACAAAACTCACATCAACCCCTGATGAGAGGTCTTTTAAGAAATAAGACAAAATAATACAGAAACCTGGGTTAGACTGGTTCCCAGGTAGACTGGTTCCATCCCCATCCCTGTCTAGTCTCATCCCTCCTACCCAAAAACTCTGCACCTGAAGTGCACTATTATGTATCCAAGAGGGGGGAAAAAAAAAGATAAAGCCAGAATCTAACACACAGTTTCTTTTAAATGTGCTCTTTACAATGCCTAGAAGACAGAGCCAGTATATGTCTCTTTTTAGACCTCAACTGTCCCCTTGAGTTGCACAGGGTTTTCTGTGAGCACTTTAAATCAAATAGGATGGATTATAACATGCTTAAAAAGATACTTTAGCACAACAAATTAACTGACATTTAATACTTTAATCTTTCTAGTAGTTTAAGTAGTTCCTTTCTCTGGGGATTCAAGAAAAGAAAAAGAATACATACTCAACAGCCAACTCTACAAAACTGTATCTGTTTCCAAGAATGCATACAAGAACCTCTGAATGACGCTTTGTCAAGAAGGAAGGAATGGAATGTCCCTTCTAATCCCCACAAAAGTTTCACACAGAAAAGAATCTCTCTGATACTAAGAGTGGTGTTCAATAAGATACAAAATACTGAGATACTGAACTTTGCATTCTTCCTCTCTCCAAAGAAGTGCTCTAGTTTTGAAATCAGTGTATCTTAGAACTATGGGTCAAAATCCTAATTTGGGGTGTATTTCACTTCACTATTTTTCCTTCAACTAAACTAAGCCAGGAACAGTTGGCCTGAACACTCTCGCTTCTGCCAGCAGCATTCACAGTTACAGGCAACGGGATGCCCTGACAGTTGGCAAGATGGCTTAATGGAGGCTCCAAAAAGTCACATGTGAGGACTGACCCTGATGTGTCTACACTGGGAACTTTTACATCTAAATGAACATCATCCTTCAAAGACATTTTCATGGGCGGCCGTCCCGTCTCATCTTTGCAAAGATGCTGCCCTCCCATTTGGGCCAACATTAAGAACAACCTCTTCAAGAACTTAACAGTTACATCTTAGTTCTTGACCTCAAATGCTGATAAACCAGCGTGGTTACATTCTCCACTCAGCAATTTTGGCTCTAAATGACTTAGCTGCTTCTGAAAACAAACTTTTGTCAAAGAAGGAAGATTTGTCAGCATCTAAGACATTCAACTGAATACGTTCCAGACTCTGATAATATTCACAAAAACATGCTTCCAATATGTGGGAAACACAGCCTTACCACAGGAACAGGGCAAGGCAGTGCTCAGAAGGATGACTAAGTCTGGCTGCCTCTGTCAAAAACCCAGGTCATCATCATACACTTCCTTTATCCAAAGCCACGTACCAGTATGCTCCTTGCTAAGAAGCATGAGCCAGCCACTATTAACAATGACCACAAGCATCCAAGCAATACATGTAAGGACCTGAAAGGACTTTTCAACATTTTGTTTTTGTACTTTATCGCACTAGTTTAGCAACTGCTTAACAATATTAAAGTTCTTTAAAAACACAACTTTTAAGCCCACTCTCTCAAGCTCTCTTTGATACTGGATGGTGAGGCATCCGCCAGGGAGGTGAGGCAAGAGGTACAGTGGGAAGAGGGAGCCAGGCAGAGGGTATGGGTCCTGGCTCTCTAAGCCAAGGTACTGATTCCCTCTGAAGGTTCCCATGTCCGAAAAATGGGCTCTCTCATGCCCACCTCACAAGGGTGTGGTGAGGCCAGGTACTCTGCACAGAGCCTGGCTCTGGTGGGAACACGTGAGATGCTCATTGGGACTATTTAGGCTTTCTAAAATGTCTTTAGCAAGGCTGGCTCATGGGGCAAAGAAGAAAAGACACCAGATTTCAGACCCTCCGGAGCTTCAGCAGACCCCACAGATGATGGCAGGCCCCAGTGAGCACTGCCCTGCTCTGACAGTCACCACGCTCTGGCATGCTGCAGGACATGGGGATTCCATGCAGCCCCACACTTTCCTACTGAGGTCTGAGCGTCTCATGGGCAGCTTCCTCAAGTGGGGCCCCACACAGGACCAAGGTATTTCTGTGAGCAGGAATCACTTCAGGTGCGTGGACTAACCTGAACCTGTGCCTGGACTCCTGGTCACCAGGGGGGCATCTAGCCTGTCCCCTCAGTCCCGGGGCTGTTGCCCCACCAGCTGTTTCTCAGCTCAGGGAGGACCTTTCTGAAAGTATTTTAACCCCAAGCAGAAATGAAGCCAGCCTCTTCCTTCCTCACCCAGGCGGGCAGCCAGCACTGGCACCCTAACCCCCGACCCCCACGAGCAGCCTAGGAACTGCATATGTGATGTGACCTCAGCCTTGCAGGGTGCCCCCTTTTTCACAGTAAAAGAAAAAACAACACTCTCAATCCACTTCACATGCACAAAACCCACTCCCAGGAAAGCCTCCTTGAAACTCACAGCACACTGTTCTGGACGTTGGGATTCTGCTCCAGAACATTCCAGGGACAGAACACTTCATTCGGTGAACAGTATAGCTTCTGGCCCCGGCACAGGAGATGACCTATCAGCTGTGATGTCAGCTGTAGGCGGCGGGCATGTATGCCTGGGGACGGCCCCCACTGTGGCCCTGGGTCCTGGGGGCCGACAAGGCTCTGCAGCAGGAGCCCGAAGCAGCAGCTGCCTCATGGCCCGGCCTGCTGGCTCAGGTGAGCTGAGGCTAGGAGCTCAAGCTCTCCAGTTAGATGAGAGCCCACGAGGCACAGAAAGGCAAGTCTGGTTGCACGGAGAGAGGCAAGACCCAAGATCTCTAACAGGTGACGCTATGAAATGTTAAGTTGGCACCCACTGACAAAAAGCAGGATTCTTTCCATGTGTCTCATGAGATGAATGGAATTAAACCACTAAGTGATCACACCTGAAGAGTAACTTGGCTGCGGTGGGGTGACGGTGACTTGTGCAGACCATGCAACTCAGAAATTTGCACTCAAAACTGTTACGACGAGGATTACACTAGGATTAGATTCATTCTGAAGAGATTAGAGAACCCTGAAGGAACAACCATGCCTGGGCTAGAACGGTCTCCAAAGGCTGCACCATTTCCAGAAGTGTGGGTGTCACTGCACTCCAAGCTTTAGGATGGGAACAGTTATTTTACTTCTGTGTTCTCTTCATCCTGAACCATGATGTTCAAAAGCAGATGACAAAGATTATGGGTCCACAGCGGCAGGCAAAGGCACAGCACTGGATATGCCCCCCCGCAGGACCCACGCCACAGTCTCATACAAATTCATGGAGCCTCCTCCCCGCAGGCAGATGCTCCATTCCCTAAACAGCCAGCAGTCTTTAGTTCTCCGATGCTAACTTGAATTATACCCCTGTTTCAAGAGGGAACTCCGTAGTTGAAGAGTTACAAATTACTGTTTGAGAGAAAATAAGTTATTTCTTCAATGAATAAATAGCTTTGAGTGGTTGGCTGAACCACTGAACCAACAATGAGTCTGTGGACGAGATCAGGGCTCCTAGCAAAGATGCCGCACTGGTGGGTATGCAGACGCACATGTGGTTCCAGCCCAGCTCCCCTTTCTTCCTTGGGAACTGCATACCTGGCTTCCCAAAGGACTGGCGTCTCAGAAAATGGACACACCTGTTCAGCCCGTTTCCTGAAACACATTCAGCTGCTTTTCCATTAGTGATGAAGTACCTACCAGTTTGGACCCAACCTGCATTCAGACTTTTGCTCCACACACAGCGACCTTGGCCTCAAGGGTGGAGGTCTGAGCCATGCCCCGTGCAGCACCGTCAGGGCCAGCACCTTCCCCCAGGGTCTTTGCCCAATGCCCGTAGGGCTCACCATGGGGAGGCTGGATGCCTCCAACTAGAATCAAATGAAACTTGTTTTGCTCTGATCCAGACAAGAATGGCAACATGAGAAGTAACCACAAAGGAAAAAAAAAATAATCCTAGATAAATGTGTCCCTTTGACCGAAGAAAACAAACTGGAGCTGTGTGTTATGCCTCACAAGTTTCAGTTCCTCCATCTAGGGGTTTGTTTGGAGGACGTTGCACAAGACGGCTTAGGAGGGTGTGAAAATGCTGCATATTAACCTGCAACATCTCCAAACACTAGTGGCATGTCCTTCAGCATCTACTGTTCAGCTCGTAGCTACTGGGCGGGAAAACAACGAAAGAGCCAGTATTTCACCATAAGTGAATCACCGAATAGAGTTCCATGGAAGTGTCTGAGGAGAAGAGGCCTTCTTTCTAGAGCAGTCTTGGAAAGAATCCGAAAGCAGGCCTCCCTCCTTCCTTCTGCATTTACTAAAGTGCAAACTGAGGAAAACCTGGGTTCCTGCACAGATGCCTAGTGATCAGCCCTAACAGCCACTCCAGAGCTGTGGCCATGCTGCGGTCACACAGGGACTTGACTTGGATTGGCCCGTGTTCACATTCACAGTAGCAATGAAGGTGCCAGGTGAGCAGCCTGCAGTTCCACATCCAGGGGCTCCAGCTGTCCCCTCCACTATGGTCACGACCCCCCCAGCCCATCCCCTTTCTGCTGGCTGCTCAGGGATGGCCCCACTAGTCCTGGGAGCAGCCCCTGGGCAGTGCTCCCCTGGTGCAGTCAGAGCAAGGTGCCCCTCTCTCTTCTGCATTTAGAAGTAGTCTCTTCTCCTGCTCTCATCACTGATGAAAGATGGGTTATACTGTCCGGGGAAAATGCAAGAGTGCCGTGATCCTGGCAATCCAGTGTAGGCTGGGTAGAGTCCATTTCGTTCAAGTTCAGGATTCCTTACACTTGAGGGCTGGTGGCCAAAGAGAAAAGAAGAAAAGTCAATTTAATCTTAGGTTTAAATCTAATAGATAACAAAAAAAGAAACAACGAATGCTACATTTTGATGAATTTAAAATGGAGGCAGCTAGACTTAGCAGAGCAAGGTCTCACCTACAAGTCAGGACCTCCCAGATTGTCTCTTTATGGAACCTGGGATCCCTTTGCCCATATTTTAAGGGCAGAGTTTTAGAAACATTATATAATCAAGAGCAGCCCAGCAACCCAGACCTGGATTAATTATTCTCTTTATTATTATCAAAAGTAATGATTATCTAATTACTATTCTGACTTTCAAAAAGGCATTTCTCTCTGGAGCACAAAGGCTTTACTTTTTAAAAATAACTTTATTTACTTATTTATGGCTGTACTGGGGTCTTCGTTGCTGTGCAGGCTTCTCATTACAGTAGCTTAACTTTTTGAAGAGCACAGGCTCTGGGGCACTTGGGTTTCAGGAGCTGCAACTCCCAGGCTCTAGAGCACAACGGGCTGAAAAGTTGTGGCCTGCAGGCTTAGCTGTTTCTCAGCCTGTGGCATGTTCCCTGGTCAGGGATTGAACCCGAGTCTCCTGCATTGGCAGGTGGATTCTTTACCACTGATTCTTTACCAGGGAAGCCCCAGCACAATGGCTTTAGATCCTCTATGGCATTTAGCGGTACGTTACCATCCCAGCTGAGACAGGGGCCTGGCCTTTGCAAGGTTGTCTGGCCACCCATCGGAGGGAGTTAGGACCCCAAAGCAGGAGGTGAGCTGATTCTCAGGTGTCTCTGATCAAATCGCAGCTTAGTGGGTCGTGACTACCTACCTAATGCAAAAGGAGCCCCTAAACTTAGACTCTACCTCTACAGACTGCTCAGCCTACTGTCTGAAATGAAGACGGGGCTCATTTAAGTTCATAACTGCATCTCTGTAAGACAACTCTTTAGCTAATGGCCTGGGAACACACAGCAAAGGCGGGTCTTGTGACGCCACAGGCCTGTCAGCTGCTCTGTCCTGGCGCTGCCCGGGGGCTGAGGAGCCTCTAGAGAAGGGTGTGAGGTGCGGGCACCCCTAGGAGAAATACTTGCTTAGTTTCAGCTGCAGTTATCAGAGGAAAAGAACTTGCCTGACAGACGAAGGAAAAAGCAAAGCCCTTATGTGGAAATAGGGCTTCCCTGGTGGCTCAGATGGTAAAGAATTTGCCCGCAATGCAGGAGACCCAGGGTTCAATCCCTGGGTCTGGAAGATCCCCGAGAGAAGGGAAATGGCAACCCACTCCAATATTCTTGCCTGGAGAATTCCATGGACAGAGGAAACTGCCGGGATACAGTCCATGGGGTCGCCAAGAGTTGGACACAACTGAGCGACTAACACTATGTGGGGATACCAACAGGAACATTTGAACTAGATCGATCTTCGTATCTACGGTTATCTTTTCCCTTATTGCTTTTTGTTTTTCTTTTAGGCCAGGTTCAAATTTTTCACAGTCTATTGAAACTACAGCTTCCTTAGCTTGAATCGCCTCTCCCATCCAAAGTCTAAACCCACAGGTTAATGTCTACAACAACCAGAGGCACTGTGCTGTTAACAGGATTGCCTAAAGTGATTAAGTCCTCACAGGCAAGGTTTCATTGCTATACCTCTAACGGCTTTGCACGGCAGAAATCACCTGATGGTTGTTTATTTTCCAGCTCAGGTATCCCTGCCTGTGTTTGCTTTATGGCTGATGCAGTGTAACACAAAAGAACTGAGCAGGCATGGGAATATGACATGGGTTATTCAACATGGGACAGAAGAAGCAAGGGTTCGAGGTGGTCTCCCATCTTTCCAAACAACCCAGTCCAGGGCCAGACATAGCAAATTATTAAAAACCTATTGAATCTTCTAAACCTTTAGACAAGTGCTGGCTGAAGATGACATTGAATTATTCTCTTTACACTTTTTCCCAGTCCCTCAGTTTCAACTACTGAACCACGTGATGTAAAGCATGGCAGACAAGAGACAAAAATGAAAGGGTCAAAGACTACATACCATTAAATTCTTTATCTTTTAACTTCCAGTCTTATAACTTAAAGGCAGGTTCAGTGACAAGAAATTTATTGCTACAACCTCATAAAGTACATACTGTGCTCTGTAGAAGTACTAGTCATATCTCAATGTCAAAACTAATAAATACTATGCAAAGAGATAGTAAGCAAATTGAATATTAAGTTGTATGAGTCAAAGGTATAGGCCACCATTCTCTTTAACCCTTAATAAGCTGGAGTGTTTTTACTACAACAAAACAGAATCCCTTGGGAGCTCCCTGGTGGCCTGCGCTTTCACTACCAAGGCTCACATTTAATCCCTGGTCAGGAAACTAAGATTCTGCAAGTTGAAAACTAAGATCCTGCAAGTTGTCTGTAGTGATCAAAAAACCAAACCAAAACAAACAGAAAAATCCCAAAACAAAAAAAACAGAATCCCTTTAATTCTCCAAGGAAGTAGTAGCTGGGAGGTCACTTGGGCATGGAAATACACACCGAGTAATACACGTCTGTCATCTGGAGGAGGTTTTTGGTACTTCCATTCTCATGCATTTCAATAGCTTCTCGGCCCCATTCTTGTGAGCGAGGGTTCTTGGGGTACTCAGCATATGGGGACATTTGGAAATCGCCACTTTTGAAGATAAGTTTGCTTATGTCATTTTTATTCTTTCTGCATGGTAAAAAAAAAAAATTTTTTTGAAAAAAGTTCTGTGAGGAAATGATATTTGTGAAAATACCATCTAGCTTTTTAACAAGGAAAAATAGACCTAAAGATATCACTATATTTTTTTTTGTAATTGCCCACTGAGAATTGTTGTTATTGTTATTATTTTTAGTATTTACCTATAAAAATGCAACTGGATGTAAATAAAATATGCAAAAATCTTCCAACCCAAATGGTCAGGTTACTGGGGGGAGAAGGACAAAGATAGCTGCAGTGGAGCAGATTTAGACTCTATTGGGGGACAGAGATCACTGCACCATGGGGGTGGCCAGGGAAACAAGAGTCATAAATTCACAAGGTTTTGGAGCTGGAAGAGCTTGATGGTTCTTTAGTCCAGGGGTTCCCAACCTGCTCCAGGAGCTCTGGGGATGGGCCTTTGTGAAGGATATGACTTATCTTGGGGTCACAGTTTGCCTCTAGCAAAGCTGAGACTAGAATTCAAGCCTCCCAACTCCCTGGCCTGTGCTCTTCCACTTCATGAAGCTGTTGGGGAAACAATGACAGAAACTGCCACCTGGCCAGGCAAAATAGTAGCAATTTGCATGAGCTATCTTACAACAGGAGGTCCTGGTAAGGAACTCAGAACTAACGAGCTATCCAACTGGACTGGAAGAACTTGGGAAAGGTCAAAAGGAGAGAGGAGACCCCAGTCCACATGTCCTACCGACCTCCCAGAATCCTCCTGGCTGGAGTCCATCTTGGTTGAGTAATACATGTACCACCAGGAAGGACACTGAGTCAGAATGATTGGCCAGAGACAACCCAGAAACTAACCCCATCACCATAAAATCTGAGACTGCGAGCCACATGGTTGAGCAGTTCTCCTGGGTTCCCTTACCCTGCCCTTCTCTGCCCGGGCACCCCTTCCCACAAGTCTCTTGCTTTATCAGCATGTGTGTCTTCTTAGACAGTTCATTTCCACGTTACCAAGAGCCCACTCTCAGCCTCTGGAAGGGGTCTCCCGTCCTACAATAGAGCTACTTCACAAATGAAAATAGTATGAAAATAGTATGTTTTGTTGGCAGAAATGCCCACCTATGTATATACCCATATAGATCCTCATGTCAGCGGGGCAGGGAAACCCTAGCACAAGTTCCTTACCATTGAGAGTCCTCTAACTGCAAACTGTTGGAGGATGTATTATTCAGCTTCTGTAATGAGCCTCAGATCAGACATTTTCAGTGATGTCTGCTCTAGGTAAGATAACCTGGAGTTTCCTCCCTCCGCCTTACTTTGTTGTAAATAAACTTTCTAGGGAAGGCACCACATCATTCAGGATCTTAAAATGTCCAGCATGGGGCTTAGATGTCTCTCTTTACAAGCTGAGAACAGCTCTTTACAAGCAGCTGCCTTTGTGCTGCTCCCTGCCGGGTGGAGCATCTGGTCTGAAACAATGAATCAATGATTCACAACGACCTTCTTCCAGGGACCAACCATCACAAACTCTTTCCCCAAATGGCTGTATTACCTGGCACAGGGTACTTAGTAGATAGGCGGCTTCTGTGCCCTGCAGAAGTCAAGGTCTGTCTCTCTAGCTCCTAGTCTTACACCCAGAACTTTATTCTTACTCATGCGGTTTCTCTTTGATGCTTTGATGGCAACTTTGTAAACAATGGGTCAAGACTGAACCCTGAAGCCTGTGTCCCTGTATCGGAGCAGTTGGCCCTCTGCAGCCTTCCTGGAGATAGAGATTATCTTAAAATGCCCTTTGGGTCAATGGTCAAAAAGATAATTTGCTATTTTTGTAGGTCCCCTCCATCAGTCATGTCAGGGTAATTCCTTCTGTTTATTACCATCTAAACCAAAGATCTGAGTTTTCCCTTAACCGAATAATCATAGAGAAGGGAACTGATTCCTTTTTCTTCCTTTTCCATTCAAAGCCCAATCCCACTGCTATCCAGGAAGCCTAGAGCCCAAGCTCACTACTGTCTGCTTATCTACATGCCTGCCACTTCTCCATTACTAAATATTCAGGCAACTCCTTTCATCTTTGTTTGCTTCTTAATTTTCCCATTTAAAGTGTCAAAGTCAAAGTCAATGGCTGTTGGTATATTCAGGGTTATGCAGCCATCGGTTGTGCAATTTTAGATCAATTTCATCACCTAGAGATAAACCCACACTCTTTACCCATTCCTCCCCAATTCTCCCCCTGCCCATCCAGCCCTAGGCAACTGCCAGTCTACTTTGCCTCTATTTGATTTGCCTATTCTGGACATTCAAATAAACGGAATCATACAGGTGTGGTCTTTTGTGACTGGCTTAATTCACATAGCATACTATTTTTAAGGTTTATCCATGTTATAGTGTGATTCAGTATTTCATTCCTTTTTATGGCAAATAACACTTCAATGTATGGATATATCACATTTTGTTTATCTATCCATCAGCTGATAGATACTGGGTTACTTTCACCTTTTGGCTGCTATGAAAATTTATGTACATGTTTCTATGTGAATACCTGATTTCATTTCTTTTGATACACGAGAGGAACTGCTGGGTCAAACGACAACTCTGCTTGATGTTCTGAGGAGCTGCGACTTTTTCAAAGTGGCTACACCACTTTACATTTTCACCAGCAGTGTATGAGTGTTCTACTTTCCCCACATTCTTACCAACACTTGTTATTTTCTGGTTTTTGTTTGTTTTAGTAACCATCTTAGTGTTTGTGAAGTGGTATCTGATGCCGTTGGTTTTGATTGCATTTCCCTGCTAAAGACATTGAGCATGCTTCCATAGGTTTATTGGGTATTTGCATATCTCCTTTACAGAAATGACAATTCAAGTTCTCTGCCCATTTTTAACTTGGTTGCCTTTGATAGGGAGGGACAAAGTAAAGGAACAAAATAGGTGATTAAATAATTAATCCCACTAAAGGATCATAAGTAAAGAAAAAAGTATGGGAGACCCCTTGTAAGTTAATGATCACTCCAGAAAGCAGGTTTGCTTAACCACAAAACCAAGTTGCCTTGCTTTGAAACAAAACCATGCCACACAAGCACAAGACATGCCCCAAAACAGTAAAAAATGGTAAAACAAGACCCACATCCTGCCCAGCAAGGTCAGTAAGCTAATGATTCCCAAGACGTGTTCCCCCGTGCACACTAAAAACAAAAATACAGGGAAAAGAAAACATTATGCTCTAACATGAGATGGTTTACCATTTTCAGAAAACATTACCACCCTTCTGCTAATTTAAACAGTGCCATGATAGTCCTGGCTTGATCAAGCAGGAATAGGAAAACTCCCCGCCTGACGGGGAGAAGGAGCTGATGAAGGAAGCTTGATATCTGCTCAACAACGGCTGTCTCCCCGCTCCTTTCTTCCTTTGATTATATAACCATGGCCCACTAAGTTCTTAGTGCAGCACCCTCCTGCCCACCTGCTTGTAAACCTCAAAAACATCCTATTCTCATAAATTACTTCTCATCCATCACTTTGCCGAATTCTTTCTGCACCAAGACAGAAGAACCTACACTCTACTAAGTCCCAAAATGTGTTCTGTGGTTTCACCTTTTTATTACCCAGTTGTAAGGATTCCTTATATATTCTAGATACAAGTCTTTTATTAGGCATATGATTTCCAAATACTTTCTCCCCTTCTGTATGTTGTCTTTTTTCATTTTCTTAATAGTGTTCTTTGAAGCGGAGAAGTTTTAATTTTGATGAAGCCCAATCCCTTTTCTTCTGTTGCTTGTGTTTCTGAATATTCTTTTTTTTTTTTTAGTGAAAATCCCATTTGCTGTCCTTTTCTTTCCCCAGGGGCACTATCTATCACAGGTTTCCCTTTTTCCTTTTTTTAATGGTTCAGTCATACAATAGGATTTAATACTGTAAACCAACCCACACATTCTTTTAAAAGGGTAAAAAACTGACTCTGGCTTAGCACAGACAAAGAGAATTAGACTGCAGACTCTTGGCACTCACCTGCAACAGGTAACAATCAGTGCGATGCCCAGGATGAGTAGAAGCCCACCTCCTGCAGCTGCGATCACCACAGTGATAAGCTGATAGGCTAAACAAGTTTAAACAGGAGAAAAGTGGATTGGGAGCAGACAAAGAATGAACAAAGGAATGCCCCCAAATGGTCCCCTTCCCCACCCCATGGCTACCCATGCCTCAGCTGGTGACCACTTATCATTTTCTGGGCCCCCAACAAAAGCTACTTGGGCCAGTTCTGCATTTTCTCCATTGAAAGGGAGCAGAATGAAGCCAACCCAAAATGTCTCTTTGGTATATTTATTATTTTGAGCTGACATTTTTGAGAAACTGCAGCACTGGAGAAGCTCTAAAAACTGAGTATTATTAATAGTTACCCTTTTGTAAGGGAAATTTACATTAGAAAGAGACTTATACCAGGAAGAAAGCTAGTATCAGAGAGAACTTTTTCACCTGAGAGACTTATTTGCTTGGCACACAACCTTTGTTTCCCAAACATTTCCTCTTCTCACTTTTCTATAAACTGCACTTTCCCCTTTGAAGCCCTAGACACCTGGCCTTTTCCTCAGCTCAGGAGGGTATGTGAGCCTCAATCATCTGGCTGCCTTTTGAGTCTCACATCTTTGTGGGGTCCCCGTGTGTATTCACAGAATTAAAATAGTTTTTTCTCCTGTTACTCTGTCTTTTAATGGGGGTAGGGATGTCTCAGCCAAGAATCTAGAAGGGTAGAGGGAAAATGACTTTTCTTCCCCCAAACTATTTTGAAAAGAGTTCCCCTTTCTTAGCCCCTCCTAGAACGGGGGTGCTCCCAGATTCTACCTGCAGACCAGCCTGATGACATTGTTAACAATCCACGATCAGACGAGAAAAATAAGAGACACATGCATGCATTTTTCAAAACCTAAACTTGTTTGGGTTTTTTTCCTTAGTTTTAATACTTGCTAAAATTTGGTCCCTCTTACTTTTTTGCCTCACTTAATATAGATGCATTTTTTAACATGTAAATTATGCCTCCAGTAAAGCTGATTTTTAAAAAGTAACTGGCCGAAAATAATATTTTCTCGGTTACTTCCCATCCTTTGGTGTTTTTTGAAATTTTTGAATTGACGGTGATATAAAAATTTTAAAATACGGTTTTAGGTTCTTACTTGGTAAAATAAAAAGAAGGCAACCACAAATTTTGATTCCACAATTTTATAAGCATCACTGCATGACCCTGGGTAGGAACTGGATAGTCTCAGCACACACACATACACACACACACACACACATTGAATTTAATTATCAGAAATTAGCAGTCATATAAACAAGCACTTATCATGTGTAATAAACAATATAAATTTTAATTAACTGATTTCATACCTGTGTATTTCTGGGAAAATCATATTTTCAACATAATCTATTAAATATTCAGATTGTTTTTTGCTGTGGAAATATGATTATAATTGTGCTTTCAGGCTGTAAGGTCCAGTATGAAAAAAAAGAGCCAATAACCGGGTTTTCTGTAGTAAATTAGGATGGAACCATGCTCTCTAGGTATTTAGGTAAAGTCAAAGGATAATGCATAGAGGTGATAATGGGCAGATTGTGAGAGAAGAGCAAATACGAGAGCAATACAAATACCCCCAACCATTCACCTGTCTTTTCTTGAAATAACTAGCAGAGAAACCTGATTACTATGAAAAACCATCAGTATTAAGATACCCAGGAAACAAAGCCAAACCAAGATATGAGTTAATTCTCTCCCTCACCTCCTGACACACGTAGTCAAGCTTCATTTTTAAAAAGTGAGGACAAAGGACAAATCTCATGCATGTGTCGACTTCTCTTTATCTCCACCAACACAGCCCTAGGCTCCCACTGACTCTTGACCAGACAAATGTAAACACCTCCCAACTCATGTTTCTGTGCCCAGTGCTGTCCACTCAATTAAAAAACCAAACCTAACCATGCCATTTCCCTGCTTCAAAAAACCTAGAGTGGCTCCCTTTGTTCCCAAGCAGAGACCAAAATCTGGTTCCTGCTCTGCTTATCCCTCCACACCAAGTTCATGTTTTCTCACTTCCGGCAAAACAAGCAAGCATTTGTCTTGGAAGCGACCCTTGCAAGTGGCTGCGATTGTGGCAGGTTCCCCTTTGAAACAAGCACCCGAAAAACACCCTTTGTGTCTGAAAAGAGACAAAGACAGTGGAGACCAGTGCTTCCCAAACTATCCATGGTCAGGGGCCAGTTTTTTTAGCTCGTGCTTTTGGATATTATTTTTATATGAAGAAAATAAAGTCTCATTTGTTCGTTCATCTTTTCCGCTGGGCACTGGCTATCATGAATTTCTTTCTCTCCTTTTTTTTAAAGAGTTTACTGCAGACTGATACTAAAATACAACAAGGCTATTCACTTTACAAAGGATCCCATGCTTGGGTGTCACAGCTGTGTTCATGTAAAGGATTCTAAGTGCTTACTTTCTGTTTCTGCACCATCTTGTTACCGTCTTGTCTCCGTTCACAGCCCCCCACACTTTGAGGGGTGCTGTGTTATGAGGTGGTTTTATATGACTTCAGGTCCCCTTGATTGTGACAAAAATGAAGTTGTTTTTAAGAATGAAGCTATTGGGGAGCTCCCTGGAGGTCCAGTGGTTAGCACTCTGTGCCCTGACTGCCAGGGCCCAAGTTCAATCCCTGGTTGGAGAACTAAGACCCTGCAAGGCATGTGGCATGCCAAAACAAAACAACAATAAAAGAATAAAGTTATTGTTTTGATATAAAAGTGAAAACGTATTTCAGGATGTCATCACCCATATCTCTAGCTGCCCACAGCACTTAATAGCACAGCTGGGAGCTTATCAATAGGAACCTATGAAGAAGCACCATGAGTGAGGGAACACATAGACTACACACTCCAGAGTTTGTGAGGACTCTCCAGGAGCATCCAGTCTGGAGAAGGCTATCCTTTGCTGATCTAAACAGCTCTCTGAAGACCACGGGACACCAGTTCCTCCCACCTCCCAAGGCAAAGGAGACTCTTCTACCAGCATTGCTGGAAGTCATGCAGCAAGTTTAGTCCCATGAAGATCATCTTGCTTGTCAACACAAGTGTCCTGGTTCCCTAGAAACCTGCTCTGGAAACAAGAACTCTGGCTTTTGTGTTGACAACTGGAGATCAGCTGAACCATCTCTCCTGAGAACCAACTTGTTGAAAGGAAACCTCAGTTAAGTTTAGACTTTCTTTCTTTCATCTCCCCTTTCTTGGAACAACAGTGTATTTAATAAATATGTCATTAGTTTGGACTGTTATTTCCTTATTTACTTACTAAGAAACATTATCCTGTATGCTACAGGCCAGTGCTTCTCAAACTTTTCCTGTCCATCTGAGTCACCCAGAGGATGTGTTAAATCTCACATGCCTGGTCCCCACCTCAGCAGTTCTGGGCAAGGTCCAAGAAGCTCTATCTCTGGTAAGCTTCTGGGGGATCCAGAGGCTGCCAACCTGTAGGCCAGACCTTGGGTGGCACTGGCTTAAATTATGCAGGAGAGGAAAGAACACAGGACTGAAAGCCAGAAGACCTCTGTGCATGTGAGCTCAGAGAAAGCGTCTGGGAGGGAACTCACAAAAATGTTCAGACATCAGTGCCACCTCGGGTACTGACGGACTGGTACTTTCTTCATGTTTTTCTGCTTCCCAAACTTTATTCATGTGTTTATATATACATATAGACACACAGGACCTTCTCTAAATCTAGAAATTATATGTGTATATGTGTACATATATAATTTACTATATACACATACATTTTTTTTTTCCATTTATTTTTATTAGTTGGAGGCTAATTACTTTACAACATTGCAGTGGTTTTTGTCATACATTGAAATGAATTAGCCATGGATTTACATGTATTCCCCATCCAGGTCCCCCCTCCCACCTCCCTCTCCACCCAATCCCTCTGGGTCTTCCCAGTGCACCAGGCCCGAGCACTTGTCTCATGCATCCAACCTGGGCTGGTGATCTGTTTCACCCTAGATAATATACATGTTTCGATGCTGTTCTCTTGAAACATCCCACCCTCGCCTTCTCCCACAGAGTCCACAAGTCTGTTCTATACATCTGAGTCTCTTTTTCTGTTTTGCATATAGGGTTATCGTTACCATCTTTCTAAATTCCATATATATGTGTTAGTATACTGTAATGGTCTTTATCTTTCTGGCTTACTTCGCTCTGTATAATAGGCTCCAGTTTCATCCATCTCATTAGAACTGATTCAAATGAATTATTTTTAATGGCTGAGTAATATTCCATGGTGTATATGTACCACAGCTTCCTCATCCATTCATCTGCTGATGGGCATCTAGGTTGCTTCCATGTCCTGGCTATTATAAACAGTGCTGTGATGAACATTGGGGTGCATGTGTCTCTTTCAGATCTGGTTTCCTTGGTGTGTATGCCCAGAAGTGGGATTGCTGGGTCATATTGTCAAAATGGCTATACTACCCAAAGCAATCTATAGATTCAATGCAATCCCTATCAAACTACCAACGGTATTTTTCACAGAACTAGAACAAATAATTTCACAATTTGTATAGAAATACAAAAAAACTCGAATAGCCAAAGTAACCTTGAGCAAGAAGAATGGAACTGGAGGAATCAATCTGCCTGACTTCAGACTATACTACAAAGCCACAGTCATCAAGACAGTATGGTACTGGCACAAAGACAGAAATATAGATCAATGGAACAGAATAGAAAGCCCAGAGATAAATCCACGAACCTATGGTCACCTTATCTTTGACAAAGGAGGCAAGGATATACAATGGAAAAAAGACAACCTCTTTAACAAGTGGTGCTGGGAAAACTGGTCAACCACCTGTAAAAGAATGAAACTAGAACACTTTCTAACACCATACACAAAAATAAACTCAAAATGGATTAAGGATCTAAATGTAAGACCAGAAACTATAAAACTCCTAGAGGAGAAGATAGGCAAAACACTCTCTGACATAAATCACAGCAGGATCCTCTATGACCCACATCCCAGAATTTTAGATACACATACATTTTTAAAAGAGTCATTTGATGTTCTCTGGC